CACACACACACACACACACACACACACACACACACACTTTCCTAGCGGCTGCCTTTAAATTATTTTCTCTGGAAAACAAGACACTAAGTTTCTGTTTCTCTGTCTGCTTTCTTAAGGCGTTCAGGGAGACGGCACAGGCCACAGCCAGGACACTATTTTCAGAACAGGCAATAACTCAGTCAAGCTGCCTTGAGAGACTCTTAACTACTGTATGAATTTACGGCTTCTCTTTCTCCCCTCATACTCATGACTGCACGCTCACCTCCATTCACCCTCTCTCCTTCAGAGGAAGCCATTATAGTGACTTTCACTAAGCGCTTTAGGATAATTAATTTATGGCACAGTGCAGTGACAACCTAAAGTCCTCTTTGAGCAATTACAGTGTGTGGTCAACTTGGTCCTCTTGTCAGAAGGACAACTTAAAGGCCCTTAATTCTTTAGAACAGTGGGTTTACAGGGACGTGGTGATAGTAGCAGACAGGCTGTCAGCGGAGCTGGATTAAGACCTTAGCGAGCCTCTGGGTGTTTAAGGTCAGGGGGCCTACTACTGTGTCAAAACACATCTGCTGACGCTTCAGCGTCACAGAACAAACACACACAGTCATACCCGTTTAGAATAAATAACTTATGAAGCTTTCTTGTCCCCAAACATCTCCAGACAGTCACCACACACCCATAAAATGACCCTTTAATAACCCTGACTGAAGAAACATTGTGAAAAGTGCAGAGAAAAAAGCTAACTCACAAGCTGCTGTTTCTCTGTGACAACGATATTCATGCATCACCAGGCAAAAGTAAATTCTAAAAATAGCACTGATGAGAATTATTTTTCATATGATTTTAAATAAGGACAACTGATATTGATATTTTGAGAATTTACTTATTAAATGCAGGTTACTGTATATATATAGTGTATTCTGCTTTAATTTAGAACTATACATGTGGGGCAATTTAAATCCATGTAATATGAGTGATGTTTTACATTGGCAGAGTGATAAGATGTTGGTATAATGTTGGTTGAAGGGAGTTCAGGTGTCCCATGTTGTGGATTCAGAGCTCTAAAGTAAGTTAGAGTTAATACTAGGACAGCCCTGCCTTACATTAATATTTCTAATTAAATATTCAATACTTTTTCCACCTTAACACACATTAAACAGATAAACAGTTTAAATCTTACCTTTAGATGCTCTCCCTCCTTTGTTTTGACAAATGTCCTCTTATTCCAGCTGCCTGACCAGCTTTAGCTTTCACCTATTAAAAGTTCACTTTAACTCAGTAAAGCAGTTCCTCCACTGTGATTGAATTCATAATTAACGCCGTTGGTGACTTGTTGATGTTGGGTTAATGCAGCAATGCTTGGGTCATGTCACTGCAGCCATGTGCTCAGTTAACTTCTCCCACTGTTTAGTTTCTTGTGCTTCCTTTTGACTTGAAGCTGGAATTTAAACTGAAACAAGCCAATAAAACACCTGGGACACTTGGTAGACCACACCCCAAATTTATTAATGAGCCAATCACAATGCTCTTGTTTTAAAGGTCCTATGCTCTCACCTAAACAGTGGTCTTCACTTTGCCTGATCAGACTTCATCTCAGGCAGGGACACAAGGCAACCTCATTGGTCCTCACATAACCTCAGATAAAAATCCAAATGAACAGAGATTTCTTCTCTTTTAAAAATATACAGATAGGAACATTACATTTATAATTAATGACAAAACTAAACATCTGATTGATTTGCATTTATATATATATATATATATATAGAGAGAGAGAGAGAGAGAGAGAGAGAGAGAGAGAGAGAGACGCCACTTATAATTTCATTGTACCTGATTATGATGGTACAATGTTTGATTTCAGTAAAAACAAATCAAGGAGCAAAAAGTCTGAATGATAAATCTGACCACATAACCAGTGTTGTTTACATGTGTACAGTAATATATTATAATTTGATACACACTTGTGTAGTTGTGAAATGTATAATTAGCTTTATTTTAACTGTCGAAATGAATCGACACACTGTTGGCAGACTAATCCTGCTTTTAACAAGAAAACACATTAATTATTACATGTATAAATAATTATAATTATTATTCTTATCATTATTTGTCATAAAAATCTCTGAACAAATCTAATGTAGCTGCAGAAAGAAGTTGTCCTGCTTAGTTCTGCAGATCAGAGTCTGTTTCTGCTCATACACCTTGAGCACAATATTGAGATTCAGTGTTTACGCTGCAAAGGCATTGAGCAGATCCAGGTCACGCTTACCTTCAGGCAGCACCATTGTTACACTGACCGCAATAATGAATTAATCACCATCATCATCACCATCATCATCATCATCATGAGCATAGCATTACAGCTGATGATTCTAATGATTGTAATGTGAGTTGCTCGTCACAGTGCCTCCATCACCGTCATCTCTCTCCTCTGTTTGCAGAATTACAGATGAGTGACTTTTGCCCTGTTTGTTCTGCAAAGTGGCGGCAGCGAGGAGAGCCGTCGTCCGCAGACTTTGCGAGTTTGCGGTAATTAAAGCTGGATAGAGCCCTATCAAGTAAAGCTGCTTATGTTTAATACAGTCAGCCATGCAGACAGGGCCTGGCGGCGCACGGCCCGGCGCGGCAGGGGGACGGCACGGCACACAGCCTCTGCGCATAATCCCACCCAGTGCATCAGCATGAGAGCATGAAAGAGGGATGGAAAGAGGCTGAGGGGGGAAAGAGGAGGTTGGTTGCTACACTTGGGCATTGAGTAAAGTTGAAGAGTATTTCATTGTGTGTGTGTGTGTGTGTGTGTGTGTGTGTGTGTGTGTGTGTGTGTGTGTGTGTGTGTGTGTGTGCGCAGATGTCATGTGTGTGTGACAGAGAGAGCAAGAGGAGGGGGACAGGGCAGTTGGGAGGGGATGGGGGAGTTGCAGAGTGAGAGGGATTTAGTTTATGGCAGCTAGACTTCACTGACTAACTGCATTGTGCAAGTGCTCTGGTGTCTGGATCAGAGATGGAGAGAGTGTCCTCTCTGCTTAAATCTGCCGGCATCTCGAGCCAGGCAGTCACTCAGTCACAGAGCAACAGAGCCGTGCCACAAAATAATGCTTTAAAAGTGTCCGGACAAAGACACAAACAGACATGGTGGACAACATGATCTCCAACTCAAGGTTTTCAGTGTATGACTGAGGCCTCCAGATGTTTTTGACTTTGACATCTGCAATTTCCCCAGTTCCAACGCAACTGACCTTTTAAGTCGACATTTTATTTACTTGTAGATGTTCCTATTAGTTTTTTCATTAATTTGCTCATGGTTGAAGAAAACAAAGCCCAATACGTCCCAACAACACAACTCACACACACACTCATCACACACACACACACACACACAAATACAGATTCAGGCAAGCTTTGTTTGAGAGGCCATGAAATGTTAGTTGTTGTTGTTCAGCATTAGTTGTTCTTTCTGTTTACATGACATCAGCAAAGATGTTTATAAAGATCGACAACGCAACTTCTCCCCAGAAATGAAGCCACAGCATCTCAATCGCCACCTATTGGCTGGCTGCAGTAAAGGACATAAATCCCACCTCCTCCATGTTAGTGGATAGACTTTCTGGTTTCTGTCATTTTAGGTACTTCTCGTCACAATGATTTATGTCCACGTATTCGTTTTTAGATTCATTTTTGGATAGTGGGAGGTGTCTCAGCAGTGTCCTCATTCACAAAAATGCTTTTTTAATTCCCGTGGATGTCCTGATGAACAACGATAGACATATAGAGAAACAGCGCTTCAGGAAAATGCGAATCTATCCTTTCTAGATTCCACATTATAGGGTTTAAAAGTTAAAGACTTTATTATAGGTTTATTAATCATTTATTAACCCTTTGGGTTGATGAATTAAAGAGAATAACAAACACATTGCAAGTTGTATTTGAGGACTTTTGATCATTTAAAATTTTTATGACCCATCTATAAGGCATTCATTAATCAAATATGAAGCATTAATTATTAAGACGTTATAATACTTTTCTAATTAAAGTGTATCCATGCCACATATTCAACAATAAAGCTGTGTCCTTGATTCTAATCACTTTCACTATAAAAAGGTATTTGCATTGCAGTTGTATAAGGATGACACCATCACACCCCGCCCAGGGACCTAACCATCCTGTCAGCACCATGACCCCCCCACCCCCCTCCATCACCAGCCAACCAACATGATTTCACCTTTTTATTCTACGCTGTACAGTTTATATGTGTCACACTGATATGAGGTGTAAGGAAAAAGAGTTGGGTTAGTTTGCACGATAATAATTTCCCACTGGAATTTACACTTTGCTTGAATGTAATCTATTTTATCGAGAGTGTACACAGCCAATCAGCAAAGGCTGTGGGTCAAAAACCAAGATGCTGTTTGTTTACGACTTTGTTTGGGTGTGTGTGTGTGTGTGTGTGTGTGTTTGTGTGTGTGTGTGTGTGTGTGTGTGTGTGCAGATATCAAATATTGTGTTCTGAATTGCAAGTTATTGCCTGCATGACTTCTGGCATGACCCAGTAGAACAGAAATGAGACCTGCAGTTTGATAAAGGTGTGGAACATGTTTTAGATTAAGAGCTGACAACTAATAATTGAATTCTGCAGCCGTGCTCTTCCATTTTCGTGTGATAATTGCACGTGGCCGAGGCTTTTTACTGCTACTCAGGGTGCATTTACATAACTGATATCTGAGAAGTGGAGAGGGACTTGTCCGGCTCGTATTCCTAAATGGGAGCTGTACAGTGCTGTAATTTCACAGCTGTAATGTGGCATCAAATTAGCCTTTCAGATCAATGCCTAATCTAACCTCGGCCTAGAAAAAGATGTGAGCGATCCAGTCTCGAAGAAGGATGCCAAATCCCCCAGCATCCACGGTGGTGGTGGTGCCGTGACGACACTTTAATAAGCTGTAAGCTCCTCTTCTGATTTAAGACAACCTGAAATATAACACTAATTCCCTTGATGAAAGGAATGTTATTTCTATAAATGTGACACATGTAACACAAATGGAGGAAAAGGGTTGAAGAGGAGCGGAAACGTGTGGGGGATGAAGATGAGGATTTGCTTCCTGTCTGATGTACATATTCTGTGAAGTGGCTTCAGCCAGTGTCTTTTGTGCTGACCTCCTCTTACGCTTCAAAAAAACATTCAAAAAGGTTTCAGTGTGATATCCCTTCCCACTTTCCTCAAGATGTTTGATCTCTGAGTTCAGAGGAGGGTATTAGACTTCACAAAGGCGAGCCGTTGATACCCCAGGGATCAATACAGCCCGGCCAGTCAATTCATTAGAGCTGTACAGTGATTAATTAAGTTGTCCTAACCATCGGGAACGACAGAGGACGGTAAAAGGGGGGCGAGAAAAAAGAAAAAAGGGCCAGTCTTGGCGTGATGTGGGTGGCGCGGGGTCCTGAAATGCGAGGCTTGGCAGCGATGTGCTCCTTTGAGTTTTTCATCTGTCTTCGCCCCTGTCTGTTCTGTCCTTGGAGCCGCGGCTGTTCATTAGAAGATGAGGAGGAAGCTGGATACTGCAGTGTGAAATAGGGAGAGATGTTAATCCTGACAGGTTAGTCATTAAGAAGCCCTTAGAGAGGAGGAAGAGACAGAGAGCCGGGGAGGAAGGAGCGGCGGCGAGAACCAGCGGTGAGGATGAGAGGAGGAATCGTAGCCTTGTTATTAATCCTGGTCAGACGCAATGTGAGGCACAGCGACCTTTAACCCGACCAGCTTGTTTTCTTCCCGTTCACTGACTGGCTGTTTCCTTTTCATTTTTTGAAACACATTGTGTGAAATTCAAAGAGCTTTAAGATTATCTCATGACCTTTCAACACCTTCTGACGCTGTCACTGTCTTTAACACTCTGTAATTGAGCATATGGACAGAAAGGCATTCACACAGGGCGGAGGAAGAGAGGAATCATGTCATCACGTATGTGTGTGTGTGTGTGTGTGTGTGTGTGTGTGTACAGTAAGTTCATCAGTTCACGTCATTAGAATCTGTCTTCATGTGCATCTCCAGTTGTATGTGCAAACAGAAACAAACACTGACATTGCTTCTGTTTGCAGGACGAAAAATCATCGTTTTAGTCAGTAAATAGATTTGTGTGTGTCAGAATGTGTGTGCTCAAACTACCTTCATCGCTCAGGTCGATCTCACACCAAACCTGTTGCCCTTTGATTCAGAATCTACTTCATGTTCTGGATTAAATATTATTGCTTATTATTTATATTACTTTTTGGACTCTCTCTTGTTTTATTTGTGTTGACGTTGAATTTACATCTCACTTTTTTGGACTTTTAATTTCTTTGTGTTTGGTGTTGGATTCAGATTTACTTTTTTCTGTTGCGTCTGATACCTGATAAATAAACGT